TACGTTTGAGTGTAATAATTTAAGACTACCTGAAAAACAAACATCGTCCTTTTTCTTAACTACTCGTTAGATTTTCAAGATTCTTATTAACACACATAATAAATAATTAAATAATTCTTCTGATCAACTCTCTTTTCATCTTGATTCGTAGGTGCATTGAATTCCTTGTCTCATGATTTGAAACTCAATGCAATCACAGTTTCTTATGTTTCAACAACACTGTTGTGTGATTTTAGTAATTCCTTCTTTCTTTGCCCAAACTTTTGTGGGTCTCAATTCTCCTTCTTCCCCCACAAGGAAGGGGAGAAAATTAAGATAATACCCAAAGAAATCATTAAAAAAAACAATTTTTCCTTTTTTCCTTTTTTAATTCTTATTTTTTTAAAAAAAAATACACTTGAAGATGGGCCTAGAGCTGAGCCCACATAAAAGAGAAGCCAACATGGCCCACCAAATCCAAGTTTATAATTCATGGGATGGGGACTTCAATAGCAACTCTAATTTTGGTTGTGGCAAACTCATCCAAACTCCAAGCCAAAAGATAAGCCCTTCCTTCTCTTATTCACACACCCGTTTTTCATGGAGCCTTCTCAGTTCTTCCCTGGGTCCCACTGATTCCTTTTGCTGATGTGTCATGCTGATCTGTTTGCATTATTAGACTTTGGACCCCACTTTTCTTGCTGATGTGTTATTTCCCCGTGCTTATCAACTAGCCTATAGGCCAATAATCAAAATAGCATCCAACTTAAAAATAAAATAAAAATGATTTTTGCAATTTTTTAATTTATTCTGTTATGGTTCTAATACTTCAAATAGTTGCGAAGTGAAAGCAAAACATTTCACGTAATAAGCATTAGATTAGAATCATGTTTCTTCTATCGTGATACGACTAATAGAATTGGCTAAATTAATGGATTGATCATGGGGAAACTCCTCATCCTACTCTCCAAGGATGGTAAAAGAACAAAAAAGGATTAGATAAGATTCCTTGAGAATTTAATAATAACTGAGGGAGATGAAATTAAAAAGAAAAATTGAAACGAAATTAATTTATATTGGATTGGGAAATGGATTGAGGCTTACAGAAGTCCAGTATGGAGAGAGGGAGAGGGAGGAAATTTTACGGCCCATGGGCCAGTGGTCTGTGGGGACCACAAATAAAAAGTGCATTTATTATTATTATTATTATTTATACTACGATTATATTTTTATTTTTATGTTTTAAATAAGGAGAGAAAAGAAAAAATGAGCTGGCTTTGAAATTGTTTTCAACAAATTAAAGTGTTTCGATAATGATGGGATTGACATATGGGCTGCGTGTTCCCACCTAAACCACTGTAATTCACCCACACAATCCCTCCAATTTATGATTAATCTATAAATATGAAAAAAAAATCTGAAAAAAAAAAGAAAAATATTTTTTCAAAACTCCATTTTATTTGTTCAACCATCATAGTTCAAGTTCAACACAGTCAAAAGTTATCTAATGTTATCTCGGTTTAAAAATGGCCCCTTTTTTTTAGTACAACATTGTGGAGGTGGGAATTCGAACTCATGACCTTCTGATCATGAATATGTGTCTTAATCATTTGAGTTATATTTGGTTTGGCAAAATGACTTTAAGTCTCTCTATTTTTTTTATTGAATGATTTCGTTATCGAATTTTAATTTGTAACAACTTAGTATTTATACTTAAATTAGTAACAATTTAGTCTTTAAACTTTAATATGTAGTAATTGAGCGTTTGTAATGATTTAGTTTCTATCGTGTAAAATGTTTTATATTTAATAAGATTTATTTAACGAGTGACCAAATCTATTTATAAATTACAAAAACTAAAATATTATACAGTAAAAATCAATACTTAAATTTGATAAGATTTTATTGATGATAGAGACTAAATTGTTGCAATACTAAACTATACAGACTAAATTGTTACAACGACTAAAAGTATCTATCTATTATCTTTTTGAGTCGTCAAAACTTATAAAATTAACTATGACCAATTTGAGTAATACGTGTTGGTTCCATGTTATAAAATACGAACTTGAATCTTTTATTATTTTTTAATTCCACCATTATTTTCTAATTTCGTGAAACTGTGGCAAACAAAAAAAAAAAAGAAACAACCACCACCCTCACTTCTCTTGATCTACTTTAGATTCTACCTTTGTATATTAGAAAAATAAAAAATCATTAAATTTCTACAGTCTGAAGAGGGAATTTTGAATAAATAAAATATGTATCTTGCAT